CTGGGCCCCACTCCCAGGCAGACATGAAGACACACAGACACAGGCTACATGTGTTTGTTGGGGAGAAGAAACGAATGAATGGGGGGAACTCAGTGGAGAGGATAAACTGCTGGGGTGAAAGAGATAGACAAAGAAAGACACAGAGACAGAGAGACAGAGAAGGGGACATCACATACACACACATCCACACATGCTTCTCACTCTGATGCACTCACACAAGGGCAAACTGCAGGAGCAAAACGAAAAAGGAAGATACAGCCAGGAACCCCGATATCTGCACATCCTCAGTTCAACTACTCTAGAGGCTGAGGCAGGAGGATCACTTGGAGGCCAGGAGTTCACGGCTAGAGTGAGAGGGTAGAAGGCACAGAGGACACATGGCCTGTCTGCCATGATCAGCAATTGCCCAGGCCCAGTAAGAGGCACTCAGCAAACACACAGCCCATGATACTCTCAGGACCCTAAGAAAATGTTTAAATTTCTTTTACAATCAGAAGAAAGAACAATGAACTTTTAGCTCAAAGAAAATGTTTTAATAAATAATGTTAATATAGTCATCTTTTTGGAGGAAAGGCAAAGGTGCCCAGGGCTACAGAAGTCAGCATGGAGCTCTGGATGGGTGCCCAGCCTGGGACTGGTTTACTGAGGCCAAGGTTGGGACAGATCTCATTGCAGGACACATGAGGGATGGGGCACCAGGGCAAGAGGGCCATCAGGAGGCCTTCCCAGAGAGGGTGGGATTTGCAGGCTGAAGAAAAAGAAAGACATGCCAAGCAGGAGCAGCGTGGTGAAACCTGCAGTCGGGGAGTTGGGTGCCACAGGGCAGCTGGAGCCTGATGGGAAGGGAGACACAGGACTCTGAACAGGACAAGATACACAAAGAAGAAAGGGAAGGCCAGGGCAGAACACAGGCAAGAGATGGCTGGGCCACCCAGGGCATGTGGCCCAGTGCCTTAAGTCCCTCTGCTGTGGGACTGGCAATGAACAGGTGCATTAAGTCTTGGGGGCTTGTGGGTGAGATGTCTAGGAGATGGTCATCATGGAATCTGTCCAGGAGGCAAGGCCTGAAGCTGCAGCTGGCCCAGAAAGAGCAGTGAGGGAAAAATAGGCCCCAGGAGCCCCAGGGACAGGGAAATGTGGTGAATGAGAAAGTCATACAGACTCCCATGTATGCAGAAGGATACACAGAGAGGGCGGCAAGAAAGGGAGGGAGGGAAGAAGAAAAGGAGGGGAGGTGGTTGGCAGAGACAGACAGACTGACCCACTGGCATGGAGATCCAGCCGCACGGACATATACACACACACTGCTGGGTGTGGGACATTCAAAGAAAGATGCAGGCGCTTAACGAGACCACAGCAAGAGGGAGTGGGAAGCAGTGGCTGACACACAGACAGATAGACAGAAGGACACAGGCCCAGGATCCCAGGAGCCATACTCCAAGGGCAGCTCCAAGGGAAACACAACTCTGGTGCTGGGTAGGGGAGCCCTAGGGTGGGGGGCTGGGCAGAATGAGAATCAGGATGGACCGGGACAGACAGACAGACAGAAAGCCCTGTCCCTGCCCCTCACTCCCTCTACTCCAGCCCACCCGTCTCCATCTGGGGTTCCCTCCCTGTCCATCCCGTCTCTCTGTATCACTGCTCATCTTTTTCTCTCTGAAAGCCACAGCTTTTTGGAGCCCCCAAGAGAAAAATGGAAAAGAAGACAGCGATGAGAGAAAATGCAGATGAGGGCCTGTGTGTGGCGTGTGTAGCACACGTGTGCCCAGCACAAAGTCCGGTCCGGATAATTTTATGAAAGAGAAGAGAAGAGATGAAAAGAGCAAAATATGGGTTGGCACCTGTGGCTCAAGCAGCTAAGGTGCCAGCCATATACACCTGAGGTGGTGGGTTCAAACCCAGCCCAGGCCCGCCTAACAACAATGACAGCTATAACCAAAAAATAGCCGGGCGTTGTGGCACCTGCTCCTCGGGAGGCTAAGATAAGAGAATTGCTTAAGCCCAGGAGTTGGGGGTTGCTGTGAGCTGTGATGCCCTGGCACTCTACCCAGGGCGATAGCTTGAGGCTCTGTCTCAAAAAAAGAAAAGAAAAGAGCAAAATATGAACAAAGACCATCACAGCAAAGGGCAGAGCCTGGAAGGCAGCCCCAGCAGGCACATAAGCATGCTACACACATACCATACCACGCACTGTACACACATCACACCGCATACCCTATATACAATACACACACCACACGTTCTGCACACATCACACGGCACGCACGCTACACAAATCACACTTGCTACACACACCATGCACAACCCTGTATGCATCTCATGTACACGGCGCACACCACACACATTGCACCATGCATACACCCACCCCACACACAGGGCACGTTCCCCATACCCATGCTGCCCGCACTGGAAGTGTGACGGTGCAAGGAGAAGCCATGAAAATATGGAGAAAGGGAGGCAGACAGGGGCTGCAGGAAGACACGCTGCCCAGGCACGGAGGGCCTGACACACACCTGCTCACACACGTGCACAGGCCATGGCAGGACCAGCCCAGGAATCTCCAGCCTAAGTTTTATGTACAAATGTATGAGGAAACCAGGAGGCCAAGTTGTAGCCAACAAGTGTCCACCAGAGGCTGGAGAAATGCAGAGACAGAGACTTCAAGGCAGAGATCGGTGACAAGCCCAGAGGGTCACAGACACCCTGGAGACAGGCCCCAGTTACCAGGCCGAAGGGCAGAACTGGGAGTGTGAACTATGATTTAGTTTTTCCTAATTTATACTTTTCTGTATCTTTCCTACTCTGCCAAAAAGAGTATATGTTATTTCTGTCATGGGGCGGGGGGGGGGGGGGGGGGGGGAACGTTTTTTTTTTCTCAAAAGGAAGAAATGCAGCCAGAATAAGAATAAAACCAACCAAAACCAGAAAGAGAAGACTGGACACAGGATCTCAGGGTCTCACATCCCCTGAAGAGGGCTAGACACTGGACAGGGTGGAGGAAGGAGAGGATGGAGAGGCCACCGCCTTATACCTTTGCTCTTCTCACACGCAGAGCCAAGCTCAAGCAAACTGGGCACAGGCCCAGAGGGAGTAGCTGCAGCCAGAGAGAGAGACAGAGGTGGAGTAGCTTTCAGGCCTCCCTTTCCTGACCAGACATGGCCTGTGTGTCCTACCCTGGGCTCACAATTGGGACCCTCAAGCCACCCTCAAGTGCTCCTTCTACTGCAGAACCACCCTGACTGGGGTCAGGGAGAGATCCCAAGGGTGGCCTGTGGCCTCTGAGGTGTGTTTTGAAGGGTGAATAGGAGTTTGCCAAGTTGCAGAGGGAGAAGAGCATTCCCAGCAATGGAAACGGCCTGCGTGAAGACTGGAGGTGTGGAAGGGCCCAGGAGAAGTCGGAGAGGGAGAGGGAGAGGGATGGACAGAGGAAGACCCGAGGAGCAGAAACGGGGAAGTTGGGGGAGACTGGAAAAACCAAGAGACACAGCAGGCGGCACAGAGGAAGAGAGACAGGAATTAGGAGAGGTGAGACCCAGGGGGATACAGAGAGAAGAAAATCAGAAGCGTGGAACATAAAGAGGAGGGGTGATAGTGGGGAGAAAAACAGAAAAATGTCAAGACAGAGCCCAGAAAGCGCTGGAGCGCCCTGGCAGAGAGAGGGCAGGGGAGAAAGCCACCGGGATGCAGTTCCGACATCCGCCCCCTCACCACACATACGCCAGGGCCTTGGGGACCCCACCAGGGCCTTGGGGACCCCGATGGTCCTGAGCCCCGCGCAGACGCCTCACCTGCTGCGCGCGGGCCAGCGCTTTGTCCCCACCTGGGCTCATCCCTCCCTCCCCCGTATGCTCTCAAGTGGGCCCACGAGTGGCCTCGCAGGAGCTCAGCCCGCTGGCTCGGGAACACGCCCCCACTCCTGGGAAAATTCAGCCGCACAAGTTGGTTTGCACACGCCCCAGAAGGCCCCAGCCTCACTTCAACTCCTGTATCCGCACAGGACGTAGGACAGAACATCCCGCACACAGCCAGAGCCAACAGACCCTCAGGCCCCATCCCACATTAATGCCATGTACACACATCTGGGACCCATCTCTGGGAAGTCAGGCTCACAGACCACTTGGACACGTGCACACACACCAACATCCAAGGGCACATGGGTGCACAGACACCCGTGAGCAAACAGACTCACACACTTGCCTACATGTACACAAAAGCAAACCCATCCAGGAGGGACTCCTACCAGCAGGCAGCCTCACATCCACACGGGGTCTTTGCTACTAGGACACAAGCCCGCCCACTGGGGTCTCTATTCTGACCTGGACATTATGGTGTATTTAGCTGGTAGAAATAACACTGAACAGAGAAATGTCCAGTTTTTGCAGCTGCTTTTAATTAAGCAATGTTGTTATGGCCAGCAGTGACTCGGCATGCATAGGTGTGCAATCTGATGTGTATTTATGTAAAATAAATTTCTTCCTGGAGATGTTGCTAATCACCTCTCCAGGTGGTAGTGGGGAGGAGGGAGGAGAGCAAAGGTCTTTGGATTTTTCTTCGGAATGCTCAGGACTTTTGTTGATCTACCCCCACCCCTGCCCAGCACTCCTAGGAAACACACAAGTAGCACACAGAGCAGTATCCTAGCAGTGTATTTGTGATCTCCCTGTGAACACACCAGTAACTCCGTGCAGGACTGACAAACCTACCCAGTCCCTTGAGTCAACTGCCACCATCCACCACAGGCATTTGAGTCCTGTCCTTGTCACACTAGGGGAGTCCTAGGCTTCCCCTGGTGCTTCTCCAGGGTTTTCACCCCAAATACAGGTACAGATGTGCGCACACAGCCACCACCTTCCACCACCAATCTGATCATGTCATCTCCATCCTGGCTTAGAGCCCTCCAGCTACCCAGAGCTGCCAAAGGCCCTTCCACTGGCCGCCTATTCTCACAAACCACCCCTCTCATTCTCCAGCACACAGTAGGTGTTGAATAAACTGTTGGCCAAACTCTGAGGTCTGTTTGTGTTTAATCAGACAGTATGCAAAGTATTTACAACCAATTCTGGATTCCCTACCCTCCTCCCCCCAAGCCTGGGCCTTGGAATTTGGGATCCCCAGGCCCTGCCCAGAGCCGGGGGTCCCCCAGGCCTCTGCATAGTCATCTGAAATCTACAAAACACTGTTTTTTTGTTTTTTTATAAAAAGGACAGTATTAGGACACCTTATAGAAAGGGCCCTGGGCAGTTGGAGGGGATTTGAGAGCACGCTGGGGTGAGCGAGCCCAGATATGACTGCGATGGACGGGAGACTTGGGTAATCAACACGTATGAAAGAAAAAGTTGAAATTTCATAGGCAGGCACTGCTTGGCCTCCTTCCCCACTGGCAGGGCCTGGCTGGCTCAAGAACCCTTGACAGTGGGAATGTTATTGCTATGACATGGGGTGCCATGGGTGAAATGTACAATGTGTCTGGGGGATGGGGGGGCGTTTTTACATGTTAAATATGGACACACATGAAGACACACACGTGCACACACATACACACATGGAGACCCTTGTCAGGATGCCACAAACTTGTCTGCCCTTTTACAGATGGGCACACTGAGGCCCAGGGAGAAGCCGTCCAGATAAACAGTGGAGCCACACCCAAAACAGTCGCCTGATGTTGCAGGGTTGGGCTCCCCATGGATGTCTTGCCACAGGGTCTGGTCAGGACAGGAGCTTGCAGAGATCATGCCACACATGGGGCAGACACTACAGTCCAGAGATAAAGCAGGGGCTGCCCAAGGTCACACAGCCAATCCTGGTGCATGGCAGTGGGCTCCTCATCCTCTTTCACCCCAGTAAGTACTTCTCTCTCTTCTCATAAGTAAATGGGTGCCAAGAGACCAGAGGCCAGGCATTGAAATGGCACAGGACAAAGTGGGGAAAGGAGGACCTGGGGTTCCCTCCGGAGGTCAGGGCCAGGGTCTCCCAGCCTATTGGGTCTTCTATTTCTGCTTGATCGCCTCCAGAGCCTGGGAGCTCACTCTTTCATGGCTAGCTGGCTCTGAAGGTCAAAAGCCACCCACATCCTGATTGAAGCCTGCCTCTCTACACCTGCACCTCCCCTCTTATTCCCAGCTCAGCCTCACATCTGCCTCCAATCTCTTCCCCCACAACAGCCCAGTCAAGTGGGCAGCAGCTGCAGAACTCACTATCTCTAACCCACCCTTGCCCCCTGGACTGTCCTCGTCTGTCCTTGATGCCTCAGAGGACGATTCTCATTGGTTCCTGAGGAAGACAGTGGAAGCACCAGGTTCCAATCTCACTTCAACCCTGAATTTCTTTGTGGCAAGTCACAATCCCTCTCTGGACTCAGTCTCCCCATGGGTAAAACGGGGGCAAGCAACTGAAGATCCCTAAGGGTTCCTCAGATCTAAGAAGGGCAGGGTCTGAGGGGTGCTCATCACACCCACCAGCATCACGTCGAACTCAGGCCCCCAGCCTGGGAGCGACAGCAGGGGGGTCTGGCCCTGATGGCCTCCGCCTACAGATGTTTCCAAAGTGGATGGCAAGGGGCAGGGTGGCAGGCAGGCTAAGGGCCAGGGGCCCTTCGCTCCTCTTTGGAAAGGCTCTTTGGCCAGCTCTTGAGACAGACCTGGGGGGCATGGCAAGTAGAAAAGGACCTTGATGCACAGAAAGAGGGTGCCCAGCCCTAGTCCAGACACTCTTCCCGGCTCCTTCTCCAAAGACTGGTGAACCTAGGGAGAGAACCCAGAGAGGGGGCATACGTCCCAGGAGCTGCAACAGAGTCACTGTGCTGGCCTTGGCCCTGCCCTCACAGGCTCCAGCATGTCCCAAAGCCCTTCCATGCCACAAAAGAGGGAGGGGTCTGGCCCCGGCAATTCAGCTCCACAGAGGGAGGGCCCACATGGGCAGGCAACAGGAGGCAAGACCCACATAAGGGGTCCCCCAGACCAGGATCCAAGCCAAGAAGTCCATCTGGCCCTTCCTGCTCCTAGAGGTTCTCTCCGGGCTGGTACTGGGGCTCAGTGGACGTGAAGTAGTCCTCCAGAAAGGCCTGCAGGTACTCGAAGGTAGGCCGCTCCTCTGGCTCCTTCCGCCAGCACTGGCACATGAGGTCATGCAGGGACTCAGGACACTCGGGTGGGCAGGGCATCCGGTAGCCTCGCTCAACCTGGTCCAGCACCTCACGATTCACCATCCCTGTGGGCAGAGTAGAACATGGGGTGAGCCCGGCTCCAGTGAGAATGCTGTAGGGGAAGCTAAAGGGACAACAAAAGGGTTTCCTGCCTAGGACAGGCTGGACCTGACGATGGGTAAGTCCTGTCCCCAAAGCTGAGAGCCCTGACCACAGAGAGAGCCTAAGATCAGATGCTCAACCACTTTGTTATTCAAATGGAGAAACTGAGGCATGGGAGGGGGTGTGGCTTGCCCAAGGCCACCAGGACAGAGGCATCCAGGGACTAAAGATAAGCCATGGGGACCTTGCTTACCAGGGTAGGGGACCCGTCCCTTTGTTGTGAGCTCTGTCAGCAGGATCCCAAAGGACCACACATCCGACTTGATGGTGAATCGGCCATAGAGCGCAGCTTCTGGAGCCGTCCACTTGATGGGAAATTTGGCACCTATGGAAGCAAAAATGGTCAGGGAGGCTCATCAGTGTGTCATGACTACTCTGCCAGATAGCCACCATCCTCATCTCCCTGTGGCAGATGAGGAAACTGAGGTTCAGAGCAGGATGTGACTGCCCAAGGCCATGTATCACCCACCCACAGACCACACTCACCTTGCCGGGCTGTGTACTCGTTGTCTTCAATGAGCCGGGCCAGCCCAAAGTCAGCCACCTTGCATACCAGGTTCTCGCCCACCAGGATGTTGGCAGCACGGAGGTCCCGGTGGACATAGTTCATCCGCTCCACATATGCCATCCCTGAAGCGATCTGCAGGCAGCACCACAGGAGCCTGGCTTGAGGGCCACTCCACACCCTTCCCAGGGGTACAGGGCACGTGACCAAGGTTAGGGTCACCCCCAGGGTGCCAACCACACTCCCTGCCCTCTGCACGCTCCTTCAAGCAAATGAAGTCAGTTTATAATAAATGCATTGGCATGAAAAGCAGGAGCAGCACCCAGTGGGAGGAGGGAGCACAGGGCAGGGGGCCAAGGGGAAGTATAAGATAAGATACAGCCAGGAAAATGGGGTAACCATGAAAAGACACCCCCACGGACCCAGAGACACAGATAGGCGCCAGGGCCTGACTGTGGTTCCAAATCCCATCTCTGAACCTCAGTTTTCTCATCTGTCAAATGCTAATAACAGCCATTCCCTATTACTCCTGGTTGTGATAAGGATTAAATAAAAAAATAAATGCTTGTAGAGCACTGCCTACAGTATTTGCTGAGTGACTAAATACCCTTACAGAGAAGAAAACTGAGGCCTGAGGTCCCACTACAAGTCAATGATTCCTGAAGCCCAGGTAAGGGCTTTCCTCTGCCCAGAACCACCACTCACAACAGCAGTGATACACAGGGCAAGGTCGATGAGTGGGGGGCAATCAAGTCAGGCTTCCTGGAGGGGGCACTCAAGAGGCCAGAACTGGCTAAGCCAGATGGGTCTGGGTGCTTGAGGGCCCATAGTGTGGGAGGCAGGGGGGGCTGACTCACCTGAGCAGCCATGTCCACCAGCTGAGGCAGTCGCAGGTACTTGCCTGTCTCCCCCTTGAGAAAGTCCAGCAAACTCCCTGGGCGGAAAGACACCAGCTCTAGCCCCTACCCTGTCCTCCCTGAGCCCTGAAGCCCTGACTCCCAAATCCTGTCCACCCAGGCAGGCTGGCCTTGCTTTAACCAGCACAGCAGTTTATACGGAAACCCAACTTGGATTAAAGTCTTACTCAGCGTGTCATTCAAAAGACAAACAGGAAGGAAAACAACCCAATGTCCCCCTCCAAGTGGACAGATAAACTGTAGTATATGCATACAACAGAATCCTCCTAGTCAGCAGCAAAAAAGGAACAGACTACTGACAGACACAACAAGGGTGAATCTCAGAGGTAAAAGATTCCATAGGTAAAGTTCTAGAACAAACGAAATGCATCTATAATGACAGAAGATAGATCATTGGTGACTAGAGTTGGGGCTAGAGGGTACCATCTGCAAAGGGGTACATGGATCTTTCTGTGATGGAGATGTTGTATATCTTGAGAGTGGCCAGGGATACACAGAGAATCCATTTGTTAAAACGCACTAAACCGACACTCATATCATGGCCTAAGAGTCACCATAGGGAAAATTTAACAATACATATCTTGGACAGTGTTCACCACAAGTGGGAGAGAAGACTTCATGTGTATAAGAAGTAGAGAATATTTTATAAGTATTTTATAAAATTTTATAGTGAATATTTTGTAAATAAAGGTATATTCAGCTATGATTTCCCATTTTCCTTTTGTATGGCAACTTTTAAGACAGCCTGTAGAATGGGGGGTATTCTTACTGTATGTAAATGATACCTCCAAAAAGTGCAATTTTGAAAAATAACTAAGTAATTCAAAAATTAAGGGAAGGTCAACTTAATTGTTGTCAACTTGACCTAGATGCAACTCAGCCCCAATATGGTAAACAGCTTTAGGAAACCAGAAAAGTGGGGGAGACAAGATACACCATAGGAAGTCATTTAAAAGTGAAATGAGGAAGGCAATCTTTGGTTTAACTTTCCACTGACGTGTGAATCTGATTATATTCCGATCCACCTCTGAAGACGTACAACCTAGATTTGGGGGGAGGTGCAGCTCGTACCCCACCTGCCGGCTATTGTGAACAGCCCTATCCGTGGAGGCTGTCCAGCGAGGGGCGGCGCCGTGACCCCATGCAGGCCTTACCCTTGCTCATGTACTCCGTAACAATGTAGATGGGCTCCTCAGACACCACTGCATACAGCTGCACCAGCTTCTCGTGCCTCAGTTTCTTCATGACCTGGGCCTCCTGCAGGAAGGCCTCTGGAGACATCGTGCCCGGCTTTAGGGTTTTGATGGCCACCCTAGTAGTGCCATTCCAGGTCCCTGTCAGGGGAGGGATGCAGACTGCCTCAGCAGAGGATCCTCTGTTCCTATAGCACAAGGACCCAGGACCTCCCTGCCTGGGTGCCAGTTCTGGCTTTGGCCTTCCTTGCCATGTAACAAGGCCAGTCAAGGTACTGACCCTTTCTGTGCCTCAGTATCTCCATCTGTAAAATGGGGACAATTACACAGTGCTCCTCATAAGGCTGTTGCAAGAATTAAATAGGTCTCTGTAACTTGCTCAAAAATACAGTAGCTATTGTCAGGACTGTGATTTTCAGGAATATACCCCAAAGAAGCTCCAACTCAACTGCTCTCACTCCTGGGTGATTATGTTCCTTCTGGACAGGGCATCAAAGGTGCCTCAGGTGTCCACAAATGGAATGGGCACTACCTGGGGCCAGTGGTGAGGAGGCGCTGGTCCGAGGGACAACTGAGGCCACCAGACAAGCGGTTGCTTCTGGAGCCCACACCCCCTAGAAAGTACAGCTCTGCACCAACCACAGAGGCATGGAGGTCAAACTGGCCAAAGTGTGACTCCTGCTCCTGCTCCTGCCTCCTGCCATAGTTTCCTCACCTGGAAATGGAAATCCCATTGGGCCTACCTGTGGGAGCTATTTGAGCTGAAATGCTTTCAGCCATCAGGCCAGGCCCACTATGAGCTCCGTAAATAATGTAATGTAATGCCAATGCATTTTACTATTATGTGGTTTTTACACTGGGAGCCTTGGGGGAAGACATGTCCTAGACCAGTGTGTTTAATCTGGGTACTGGTCCCTGCTAGGCTGGAATGTTCTTTAATGAGTGGCCTTGGGCCCATTCCTCCCCACTGCCACACCTAGATCTAAGGGTTGGGGATCGGGCCCATCCCTGTGGCCCTCCTGGCCTTGGCCATCTGGGGATCTGCATACGCCCTTCAAGAGTCTACTGAGAGCAGCCTGGGAGGAAGAGAGACCCTCTCTCCAGACACCACCACATGCCCAAGCCAAGATGAGTTTTGCAGTCACCACAATGGCCAAAGCTATGCATTCATTCAAGGGGTGCTCAGGTCCTCTCCATGCTCGCCAGCTCAATGCCCACACCTTCCCTTGCCTGACTTGGCCCGTCCCCCAACCTCCAGGCCTCTGGCCCTGCACTGCTTCCCCTAAGGCAGTGGTTCTCAACCTTCCTGATGCCTCAATGTATTTTCATTGTTAAAAAGGGGTCACAACCCACAGGTTAAGAACCACTGCCCTAAGGGAAGCCTCTCCCCTCTCCTCAGTCAGCTCTGAAGAGAGGAGAGAGGAGACGGTGACACATGCTGTGGCTCAGATGAAACCACCTTGGAAAGAGCAGACCATGCTCCCCTGATAAAGCCACAGACTTAGAACTGTCATGGCCACCTCCACCCTGGCTATAACATTCCTATGTCAGCAGAAACCAGCCGGTAGAAGAGGGGCCTGGGTTTTGTCACTGCTAAATGGTGCTCATTTTCAAGGACGGTTTGCTGTTTTTCCAAGGTTAGACAGGAAATCACTAACAGGCACAGAACATGCCAGACCCTAAGTTTCTCAGTGCCCCACCCCCCACCCAGCGAGCCGGGGCTGCCTTTCCCATGGCTAACAGTTAACATGTGGACATACACAGGCCATGTTCTCTCACAGTCCCACGATGGATAGATGCTATTATCACCAGCCCCATTTTACACTTGGGAAGGCTGAGGCTCAGAGAGAGGCTGCCTGGCAGGTCTGTGGGGAGCCAGAGTGCCTGACTCTGAGCAGCTCTTTAACAAACAGATGCGACACTCTGCAGGGGTGCCGCGCATAGCACTTGGGGAGCTACACCCTAACTCAGTGCCAGTTGGCACTGGGGAGCTCTGTATTTACAACAGTGCCTCGCTGTTCAGCACAGGTGACTAAAAGGAAAGGGAACCAAGGGAGCCTTGAGCTTCCACGCAAGACAGACATCTGCCTGGTTCTCAAGTGGACCCCCTACCCTGCCCCGGTCCCCCCCAGCCTCGCCGGGCCACGGTCTCTCCTGAGGGGCAGGGCCAGGCCTTACCCATCCACACCTCTCCAAAGCAGCCCTGGCCCAGCTTGACCTCAAGCCGCAGTGACTCCCGAGGGATCTCCCAGGCATCCTTGGCCAGGCCCTGAGTCTGCGGCTTGGACGTGGGGCACACGGTGGTGAGGCGATGGCACAGGCCGTCGGCGTGTTCTGAGGATGCAGGCAGGAGGGTGCAGGTCAGGCCAGGCGACCGCCCTGGGCCTCCCTGTCCAATGTGCTGCAGCCCCACTCACAGTACATACACAGGTTGCCTCCAGGCCAGGTGTGACGGTCTGTGTACACAGCCCCCGACACACACTGGCCGACAGTGCTATATGCATCACATCTGCTTACTGAGTCATTCATTCATTTATTCATTCATCACACTTTAAGGCAGTGGTTTTCAACCTTCCTATTGCTGTGGCCCTTTAATACAGTTCCTGTGGGTCGTGACTCACAGGTTGAGAACCACTGCTTTAAGGGTAGTCAGAGACCCAGTGAGGAAAAAGTCTACAGGAACCTCGGAGCTCACAGCCAAGGAAGAGCTCAATCACTCCCACCCCCCACCCCCGCCTCCCCGGGGTACCATGCATGTGTCTGACTATGTCCAGGACAGGACAGCTGTGTGTGCAACAGCAGTTGGGCCTGAGTCCTGGGAGGCTTCCCAGGGAAGTGGCAGCTGGGCTGGGATTTGGAGGAGGGTGAGGGGATAAGTTGGGGAGAACACTCCAAGCAGAGGGTAGGGCCTGTGCAGAGGCTCTCATGAAAGAGATTAGACCACACAGGCCTCAGAGCCAGCGAGGGGTCTTTATCTTAAGGTCCCACCCAAGATAGCCCCTGGAAGGTTCTGTAGGAGCAGGACCCCACAGCGGTGGCCAGGGCCAAGAGTGCTGGTGAGCCTAGGGGAAAGTGGGAGGCCCAGCTAAGGGGAAGAGGCTGGGGGTGTTGAGTAGACCACGCCTACACACAGAGGCCACAGACACGCACAGGCCTCTGACATAGCAATCCACAGGGTGACTCGGGATGTCCAGGAGGGTGGGCCACACCACTGCACAAGCCCCCACCTCCCCACCCTACACGGTGAGCCCCTTCAACCACTCTCTCTCCCACACTCTCTCCCTCTTTGCTGCTACAATCTAGCCACCCCCTCCTCCTTCCCCAGGAACCGGTTCAGACCGGTCCTACTGTGGAGACAAATGGAGACAAATGATACCAGCCTCTGTTCCCTCCCTCCCACCAGCTCACTCTGGTGTTCCTCAGGGCAGCCCCCTCCACACCAGCCAGCTACAGAGAAGGAGGAGGAGAGGGAAGGCCAGAGGGGCAGGGGTGGAGGAGGAGGGGGTTAGGGAGAAGGGGAGAAAGGAAGAGGGGGAGGAGGGGGGAGGAGGGAGATAGGAAGAGGGGGAGTGGGGGAGGGAGGGGAAGTAGAGGGAGCAGCAGACCTGGCCTTCCAGGATAACAGAAACCCCCAGCTCCTGTAGGCTCCAAAGCCCCTTCCTCAGGGTCTGTGGCTAAGGTCCCAAGGCCCTTCCCATCCCCCCAGGGCTTAGCCCAACCCCCACTGCCTGGCAGCCCTGGGCACTCACTGGAGTAGTAGGCCACCAGCTGCTGCAGGCTGTTGAACTGGGTGCGGGAGGTGATGTAGAAGCCACCACTGTCCAGCTTGCGGATCTTGTAGTGCTTCACGTTGAGGCCCTTGGCGTTGTCGAAGTCGGACACAGAGAGGCAGTAGGCACCTGCAGGGCAGGCCCAAAGGGAGTGTGACCACCCTGCCAATCACTCCCAAAGGCCATGGCACCAAGCGTTGTTCTGTGCCTGACTGGCCCACCCTGTCTCTCAGCAACCAGCTCTGGGGCAGCAACCCAGGCAGAGCCAAGTAAGCAAAGAACACGTGACCAGATCGTCCTGCCACGAACCCTGGGCCCTGGAAGGACCTCTGATTCTCAGGTGTGCATCCCAACTATGTGACCTTGACAAGTCACTTGCCCTCTATGAGCCTCAGTTTCCTCCTTTGCACAAAGGGGACACTCCCAGGATGGCTGGGAAGATTCAATGAGAATCTTGAATCTCATTGACTAGCCCACATACAGAGAGCCTGGCAGGTGGTAAGAAGTCAATAAGTGTTTGCTGGGAGGCTGGGAAGGGCTCCACATGGCTGTGTTTCCCTGGCCTAACCGCTTTCCCTCTCTGGGTAGGCCCACAGGGGCACTGTCTGTGGCCTGCTCATTCCTGAAGACAGGCCCAGGCTCAGGCAAGAGGGAATGGCTGGCAGAGGTGACAGCAGTCATGGGCAGATCATGTTCTAGGTGATGTCTGAAAGCTGCCAAGGCCAAGTAGGGCCAGCCCTGGTGGCTCCCTCCCTGTTTCCTTCGAGCCTAGATAAGCTTTTGCTGGAAATGTTTCCTCCCACCCAGCAGGCCCAGGTAGGAGCCTCTGTTAACCTGAGCCCAAAAGATACCTAGGTGGCATGAGGAAGGGGGGCTGGCTCCCAGAGGTGGAGCAGAGACACCGGAGGCCAGAAAAGACCCTTCTCAGGAACTTGGCCTGCCATTGTGCAGACATCAGAATGGAAGCACACCTCTTGCAGCCCACAGACCTTCCTCTGGACAGTCCTCAAGCAGAGGTTACAATTTCAGTGTACAGCTGGGGAAAATGAGGCCCAGAAAGGAAAAGTAGCTGGCCTATGGTCACCTAGCAAGCCAGACACAGAGCTGGCACTCAAGCCCATACCCAAGGATCTCAAGCCTGCATTGGACAACCATGATTTTCTGCAGATGGTCCAGGCTGTGTGCAAGTAGAAGACACAGGCCTGAGGCTGAAGCCAACCCCGACCATGTGTGCACACACGCACAGGCATGCCGTGCCCAATGGCCACATGCTTACACAAGCACACGCTCCCCAGATCCCCAGGCACAAGGACAAACTGCAACAATTCACTCCCACACAGCAACACACAATTCCACCCCCACGTGCACACACACACATGCCCAGACCTACACACAGCATGCACATTTGTACACGGCCACACAGCTGCTCATAAACGCACACGCACGACATGGATGCTCTGCTTTCCCATCTCCTGCTGAGCCCCAGGCCCACAGGAAGCGGCCCAGCTTGGTTGCCATGGTGACGAGGCGCCTGCAACCCACTTTGAGAGGGGCTGGAGAGAAAGGGGATGATCTTCATTCTCTGGCTTGGGGGAGGGTCAGGAGGGGAGCAGGGGCCAAGACGGTAGGACATGGGGGATGCAAAGCCAGGCCCGGCACCCAGTGCAGCCCCAGAACCCCTGGGAAGGAGAAGAAGAGGGGCCAATTGCACCAGCACCCACCCTGGGAATAAGCCTTTTGCTATGTGACACTCAGACCTCCTGATAACCTGTGCCCACTCCTCATCTGAGGCCAGAGAGGCTAAGCCTCATCTTTCACTGCACCTCTGGCCAACCCAGATTACTGTGGTCCCTAGATGTATCTCCCTATCTTCGATCCTGCCATTTCCACCACCTGGATAGCTCTTTTCTTCCCACTCCATATACCAAACTCCTATTCACTCTGCAACACCCAGTTCAAACCACCCATAAAAGACTCAGTTTCCATTGGTCAACAGAAATACCCATACCTTTTGTGGTCTCACTTTCTCGTACTAAGAAGGTCCCTCTCGGGTTCTCGGTGTTGAGCAGTAACCTCTCGGACTCTCGTCTGGTGATCTTGCCAAAGTACCACCTGGGGTGGGAGGGAGGTGGGTGGTGTTGGCCATCCAGGCTTCTGTTCACTCATAGTGCCTCTCCCTGGATGTGGCTGGGGCCCTGGGCAGCCAGACCTCCCACCCTAGTCCAGGAAAGACTTTGCACTGGCAGAAACAGGGAGTAAATATACTCACTCCTCGGCCTGGATGGAGTCAGAGGGCGCCACATAGTTGCTGGGGATGTAGCCTGTCTGTCCGGTGCTGAGCGAGTGGGCCAGCCACCAGTCTCCCTCTCTGAGCAGGGCAGAAGGAGGAGCAAAGGAGAAGGAAGCCATCAGCGGTGAGCCGGTGCCCGTGATCTTCCTAGGTGCTGTGCTAGGGCCCCTTGATGTCGAATGAGGCCCAGGGGGGGCCAGCTTGAGTTCCCACAGCGTGCCAGGGCAAGTTGGCCTTGAACTCTGCCCCTCCCTGGCCCAGATGCCTCTTCACCAAAGCTGGCTCAGAGGGCCTTTGTCTAGGACCGTGGCAGGACTGACTTTGAGCAGCCTGAAGGGAAAGTCCTGGGACAGGAAGTAATCTGCTACCTTTCAGATGTATTGAGACATCTCAAGATGCCTAAAGCTGCCTTGGAGTGAGGGAGTAACCTCCCTGTCCCTAAAGGCAAGTAAAGTTATAACAAGAGAGAAGGTTCCTGCTCAAAATAGAGTCAAATTAGACCTCACAAAGTCTCCCAAGCCCTGAGATTCAGAAGCCCAATCCTGGGAGTTGGTGAGACATGGATGGGGCCCAGTGACAATTGAGACCCCACCCTGAAAACTAGAGCAAATGCTTGTCTCTGTCACAAATCATGGGTCACATCTAAAGGGCTTCCTGGCTAAAGACTTCAGGCCTCCTCCTGCAGCCTACCAGCTTCAGGGGGAAACTGAGGCCACAGGGGGTTGGGGCTTGCCCAGAGTCACACAGCAAGCCATGTCAGAGGGGGCTAAGGTGGCAGAGCCCCAATGCCCAGGGCACATCTATGCTAACTGCCCAGTGGAAAGGAAGGGGTGGAGAGGGTGTGGAGGAAGGGCAGGAGGGGTTGGGGTCAGGTCCCCTGGGCCTGGGTGGGGGCAGGGTGGGGTGGAAGTACCTCTGCAGCCATCTGAACGTGAACCAGGTCTGGCTGGATCGGGGGTCCCGAGACAGAGGAGGGAGGAGAAAGCGAGAGCCCGACAGGAGAGAAGAGGCAGAGATGGGGGTGGTGAGAGGCAAAGAATGACAGGAAGAGCAAGGGAGAGAGCGGGAGAGCCAGGCGGTGCTGAAGACAGGGACAGTGGGGGCGGGGGGGAGGGCAGCCACAGAGGCCTCACATCCACAGCAACCAACAGGGACAGGGAAGGTCCATGGGGATTGGTGGGGGGAGTCACTGGGCAGGCAACCTGAGAACTAGGGCCCCTCTCAATCCCACTGTACAGATGGCAAAACTGTGGACAGAGAAGCAAAAGCCTTTGCTCAAGGTCACACAGCTGGACCCAGGCTTCCAGCTGAGAAGGAACCCTCACCTACAGAGAGGGGTGGGGCTGACAGCTTGCTGAGCTCTTCTCAATCCTGTGTGGCCTTTGGACCTTACCATGACCCTGAGATCATCTGTACAAATAGTGAGGCAAGAAAGTAAATGCAGAGCTAAAAGAATCTGTCCTAGCCGCCCTGTGTAGGCCTTAGGATGCCCCCCAATCCCTTCCAGAAAGAACCTTGTCTACAGTGACACAATCTGAACCCTGGCTCCCTATTCCTCTGAGCTGCCCCTGGCCAGATTCTTCAGTCCATTTTAAAGATGAAGAAGTTGAGGCCAGAAGAAGCAGGACTAGGGGAGCTCTCTGAGGACCTGTCAGAGGACAGGTAAGCACTACAGACCCCAGGGATCAGCTGAGTGGGTGGGCCAAGGTGAACCAGAGGGTGTGGGTCCCTTCAGATGGAGTGAGCCAAAGGGTTCGGCTGGGGCTGTGTGGAGCTGACTCAGTTGTGTGATGGCAACACATGAGCCCATGTTCAGTTTGGGGGACAGCTCATGTGCAGAGGAGCAAGAGGGGGGTCCCTAGAGGGAAGGGGTGAGTCCCTTCCCATGGAAAGAAGCCCATGGATGCCCAAAATCTCCATCCACTTCCCTACTGTGAACCACCCAAGGTATACACACTTGTCTGTCTCATTTGACCCTCATGACCACCCTGCAAGGAAGGCAGGCAAGGTTCTAGCCCCCAGACTAGGGAACTGTGGCTCAGAGATGTTGAGGGATCACCCAAGGTCACACAGCACCCAGCACTTTCTTTAGAGAGTTGGAGAAACTGAGTCACAGACAGGGACGGTCAGGGAAAGCAGGGACTCAAGCCACAGGGAACAGTTCTCTCAGATCTTTCAGTCCAAAGCCTCCATTTTACTCCTGGGGAAACTGAACACAAAAGAGCAGTGATTGCCCCAAAGTCACACAGCGAATCAATGACAAAGCAAGGGTGAGAACCGGAGCCCTTGGGTGCCCACAGGCAAACACAGCAGGCCTTCCAGGACCTCACAGAGGCTGAGGCCCTCAGGAAAGCCAGCAGAAGATGACAGGACCCAAAGCACCAAAACTGGGCCAAAAGGTCAGAGGCTGCTCGGCCAGGTGCAGTGGCTCACACCGATAAGCCCAGAACTTTGTGAGGCCAAAGGAGGCAGCTTAACAAAGCCAAAGTCTGGAGGCTGCCCTCTGAGGAGTCCCTGCCCCCCATATAGAGTGGACGACTGGCAGGAAGCACAGGTCCAGTGGCCAGCCACGCAGGGCCCCAGAAGCGAGAGGAGTTTGGCTGACATTACCCAGACTTCAGCAATCAGAGCTCCTAGCTTTCCAACATCAGCCCACATGTGAGTTTGGGGTTTCACAGACTACTTTGGGAGTTTTATTTCACAAGGGCAGGGAAAGAAATGCACTGTAATTTTGCTAAAGGATACACAAGGTCCAACTTCATTCTAGCCTTTGACTTTGGAGGTGTCTGAGACCTTGAGCTCCAGAATTGGACTGCCTTGGGTGGCATCGCAGCTCATACCTTGCTGGCTTTGACCCCTCCACATCACACCTTCAGTCTCAGTTTCCTCATCTGTCAGATAGGAAATAGTCATGCCTCCCTTGGAGGATGGAAAATGCCAGAACAGGGCTGCTGAACATGCATGAACTGTAGTATCCCAATTTGGCTAAACAAATAAATAAAAACAACCAAATCTGTGTCTCTGTGGTGCCGCTCCCTACTCTCCAAAATGTCTCTAAACCCAGAGCAGCACAGTCCTAGTCTCCAATAAGGATTTGCTGTGTGACCCTGGGTGAGTACTATACCCTCTCTGGGTTTAGGGTTTTGTTTTTTTTTTTGAAACAGAGTCTTACTATGTCATTCTCAGTAGAGTGCCATGGTGTCACAGATCACAGCAACCTCCAACTCTTGGGCTTAAGCAATTCTCTTGCCTCAACCTCCCAACTAGCTGGGACTACAGGTGCCTGCCACAATGCCCGGCTATTTTTTTGTTGTAGTTGTCATGGCCCAGGCCAGATTCAAACCCACCAGCCCCAGTGTATGTGGCCAGTGCCCTAACCACTGAGCTACGGGCGCTGAGCCCCTCTCTGGGTCTTAGTTTCCTCATCTATAAAAAGGAAATAATACTCAGGGACTCTCCCACTCAGGCAAAGTGTGTAAATAGTCAACATTGAGCTGGGGGTCAGAGGAAGCTGAGATAATTACTGTGATTATCACCAGAGCCTCAGTTTGCCAAACTGTGAAATGGGGACACCAAGCCCTATCTTCTCATGTCAAGGGTTTGGAAGCACAAACCTCCCTCAGGTGGCTGTGATGGGATGTAACAACAAAATCAATCTGTCAGGTTGAGGAGTTTTACTGCATCCAGTGCCTTCCCTGGAACCTGATCCTCATGAGATGGGCAGGAAGAAGGAAAGGAAGGAATCACACACCCCCTGCTCAACCTCTCACCTTCCCACGTGTGGCCAGAGGAGAAAGCACGGAGCGTGGAAGCCCTGATTTGAGACTTTACATCTCAACTGCTGATCACTAGCCATGTGACCTCAGGCAACTAACCTCATCTCTCTGAACCTCAGGATCCTCCTTATAGACTTAATCCTGTGGCCAGCCAGGCTGGCATGTGGATCAGGGCTATGGCAGCTTTGGAACCTGGGACATGATGCCAGTTTGCATCTTGATATTAACTCACTTGAACTATTAGGAGGGTCGGGGGAGCTCTTTGGGGACTGCAGACAAGCTGGGACAGCTGGGTGTGGCCAGCCAGAGCTTGACAGTCCCAGGCCTGAGGCTGCCAGGCCCCAAGTAATGCCAGGCAATCAAGTTTCCAAGCCCCAAGGCCTGGGAGAGAGTGAGGGAAGGGTGAGGCCAGGGCAGGCTGTGGAGGAGGACATGAAGTGCTTGGAGGCTCCAGTCCTGAGGTGCCCTCTGCCCTAGAATGCTCAGGGCAAGGAGGCAGAGGTTGGTGGGTGTGCTGTTGCCGGGCAGTGCCTGCTGGAGAGCTCCCCCAAAGAAGATGCTGGAATTTGGGTGGTAGGAAGGAGCAGTTCATGGAGCAACTCAAAGGGGTCCTGAGCCCTAGAAACTCAGACACCAGGTCTGGCAGACTTCAGACCCCACTGGGCTTCTTCTGACCCGGGGCTACACAGTACCAAGGCCATTTGGCAACAAGGCCAATGGACTGTGGTCATCATCTTAGAAATCTGACTGCCTGGCACTTCCTGGGCCCAAGCCACCCTCAGGCCTGGGGCTGTCAGGCTCTGGCTGGCTACACCCAGCTGCCCCAGCTTAACTGCAAATCCCAATAGATGGGCTCATCGTCAAGCTCTCCACCTCCGTTGACAGCAAGCCCAGCCCCCACACATGGGGTGGGGGCCCATGCTGGATTCCCTCATGCATACAGATTAGGGCAGCCACTAAACAATAATGGATCCTAAATAACCATGGTGGTCCCTGAGTGAGGTATGAGACCCAATCACCTCAAATTTGGGTGTCCCATCTTCCACTAAGCACCACCTCCCCGGTCCCCTTCTCTCTCTTTTCCCTCTAGTGCCAGTGCCAGCTCTACTCTAATTCCCACCTTCTAGCTGGGATTCTACTTCAGCTGAGCTGAGTGTAGGAATAGGAGGAAGGGCGAGAAAGGGCTCCTTCATCCACCCACCCGCATCAGGGCCCCTCACTGCTACCCAGGGGTTTCTCATGGGTAATGCTCCATCTCTTCCATCCCCCTAGCCTGGTCAAACGTCCCCAACCCATCCTAGAAGGCAGGAAGAGGGGAGGAGAGGGGCTAGACAAAGGAGTCAGGCCAGCCTGCCCTCTCACTCTGGTCAGGAGAGGCAGAATCAAAATTCCTTGAGTCTTTGCTGACCCCACATAGTTACTAAAGCTGTCACCTACAGTGAGATGCCCCTAGCACTTCCAAACCACGGTCCTGATAGGTCCTCCCCCTGAACAGGCCTTTCCCTCCACATGCCCCTCCTCTGAGCCTTCCTGCAAGGGGCATGGCTCCAAGGGCTGGCCTACCCCTCCCAGCTCTGCCCCTTCTAGCTGTGTGACCTTGGGCAAGTCACTTCACCTTTCTAGGCCTCAGTTTCCTCTTCTGTAAAATGGATCAAATGAGAGTTCCCACTTCTCAGGGCTGCAGTGACACAGAGATAAAATAATGCAACTTAAAACACTCAGCACAGGACCTGGCTCACACACAGAGCACAAAAGTTGCTCAGAGCACTGTTATTTCTGTTCACTCATCCTGTTCACCAGCAGCGGCTGGCCACCCCCAATGTACTGAACAACAGGTGACATGGGGACTTGAAGAGAGGAAGACCAGAGAGCAACTCTTGAGGGGCTTCCAGGTTGGGGGAAGCAGATGCAAAGAGCTGGTGACAATAGAGGGACTGGAGTCAGGACTCTGACATGTGGGAACTGGGGGTGGGGGGTTGCTGGGAAAGTCCCTCGCCTCCCTCAGAGAGCAGCTTGAGGAGGGGAGAGAGCCACAGCCCAAGTTCTAATCTTGGCTTTGCTACTTGTCCATATGATCTTGGACAAGGGCCTTCAATACCTCTGAGCCTCAGTTTCATGGAGACAGTCCCTTTCCCCATTGCTAGAGCCCACTGGACTGCAGAGAGGAGAAGATATAAGGAGGACATGGGCAAAGATGACTGGCACAGCACCTGGCACCTGTGTTCCCTTCTGCCTCACACAGAAGGCAGGTCTGCACTGGATCTTGAGGGATGAATAGGAGTTCACTAGGCAGAGGCTGGAGAAAGGGCATTTCAGGCAGAGAGAATAGCATGCACAAGGAAAGGGTGGCATGGACAAGCAAGACACACGGGCAGATGTGGACATGTCCCACTTCCTGAGCCAAGCCTTTGAGGACACTCAGAGATGGATCAATTCTCCTCTACCCTCTAGAACCCCCTTCCCTGCACAGCCCCAAAGGCATCAGTCTCCTCCAGTCCCCACCCTCCCTCAAGCTGCCCTCCTCAAGGGGTGGCTGTCCACCACCTCCACCTGCCACACAACTTCCCTGTCCTTCCTACAAGGCCCTTGACCCTCCCAGACCCTGTGGCCACCACCAGAGGGAGGCACACTGCAGGGGTTCCAGGAGTTGACCCCAGTTTCTGCCTGACACTTAGCCTAGACTGGGCAAAGGTCTGGCTCCCCAGCTGCAATCTGGCTCTAGGAGGGTATGGACAAGGCCTTTTCCACCCCGGCCTCACTGGGCTCAGCACTGGACCCTGCATGCAGCTGCGCTCAAGGTGGGCTGAAGGGTCTGAGTGGGCAGGGGAGAGCTAGAGGGGAGGGGCACAGAGAAGAAGTGTGAGGAAGGTCCGCTGTGTGGCCTCCATCTCAGCCTGGCCCAGGACCAGGACCAGGGCAAACTGGTGGGGGGTGGAGAAGCTGGGGATGCTGGGATGGAGAGCAGCCAAGGGAGCCAGAGAGCACAGTGAGGGATACTGGCGGTGTAAGCACATGCATGCAGAAGGCACCCTGCCCCAAGCAAAGCACCCCCGCCCAGTCCGCCGCCCACACAGTGTGTACACACCTGACATCCACCTTCCTCCTAAGGGCCAGCGAGAGAAAAGCAGAGAGAGGGAGAAGCTGAGAGAGGGCTGGAGGGAGCAAGCAGAGGCAAGGATAGGGAGGGGTTCCCCGCGGCCAGGGAGGGGTGCCCTGCCGGCGGGGCAGCCAGGGAGGACAGCAGATGCTGCCAAGGGCGAGAGTGCAGCAGGCGCCTGGCTCCACACTGCCCTCTGTCGACGGCTCCTGTACAGCAGGAACCCTCTACTGTGAAGCCCCCTCCCCGCACACACACACCGCGTCCAGAGGGGCTATGGGAAAGGGGTACACTCACGTGTTGTTGACAATCTGGAGCCGTTCCCCTTTCTTGAAGGACAGGTCAGTCTCCGTCCGTGACTCATAATCATAGAGAGCCACAAAGGTGGTCACTCCGCCTGCAGAGAAGGGTGGGTGTGTCAGAAAAGCAGGGTGGGGTCCTTTGGGGGACTGGGGTGGGGGGGAAAGCAATGTCTCCTATACGCCATTGTGTCCTGCCCAGAGACATGGTCACACTCAGTGGGGGTCCACACTGTCTTCGTGTCTGTGCATCCCTGCAAGGGTGTGTGCCTTCATGCTTCAGTGTGCCCCTGCTCTTTAGGAGAGGGTTGGCGTATCTGTTTAACATCTGTCTGGCTCGTGGAACCAGAAGTCCCCAATAATAGGCATCTTTGTTTTGTTCCCAAGAGCCTGGCACACAGTATTTAAGAAGGAACTGCAGGCTGAATGAGCTGGTGGCTGGAGAAGCTCTATTTCTCTGTAAGTGACCCCGGGTGCTTCTAAGTGTCTGGGAAGACTTAGCTCCAGGTAACTGTCCCTTCAAAGAGGTCCCTTTACAGCCTCCACCTCCACACATTCCCCAGGCCCCCCCTTCCCACCGTTTGGTTTTGTTCCTCCACAGAGTTGCCACCTTCCAACACCCTGCACAATTTACATACCTGTTCTTTACTTCTCTCCCCCAGAGGGGGTTGTAAGAACAGACCTGGCACATAGTAGGAACTCCATGAATATTTCTTGAACAAATGCATGAGTGTGTTTGAGTCCATTTGTCTCATCTGGGCGTGTGTCTGTGTCTGAGGGGTCCACGCCCATCCGTGTGTCTCTGTGTGTATGTTCTAACTGCGCATGTGTGCATGTGTGCTCCTGTGACTCTGAGTCTTCACAACGGTATTTCTAGCTGAGCATGTGCCTGTATGTCTCCTGCACGTGTCTCTGCACAGGCTTCTGACTGCACTGCCTGTGTCTTTATCTGAGATACATTATCTATGTGTGTGTATCAGTGTGCATCTATCTCGGGGTGTGTCTGTGCATCCACGTGTCCCTGAGTGTGTTCCTATGTGTGTTGTGTGCCTGTGTCTCTGGCTCCGCTCAGCCTGTGTGAGTGTGCTAGGTGGGTGTGTGCCAGCAGAGCGCACATGTTTGTGTGAACATGTGTGTCTGAGTCTCTCCACCCCATCTGCATCTCTCTAAGCGTCGCTGGCCCGGGGCTGCGGTGCCCCCAAAGCGCCAGCAGAGGGCGCAGGGGCGCATCTGGGCGCTGTCCCAGCCTCAAACGTCCCCGCGCACTGGGGCAGCCTTCTGCCCGGGTGCCACGCGCTGGTCGCCCGTCCTGCCCCATCTGCAGCCCCGCCCGGGCAGAGAACAATGCTAGGCCATAAAACAGTAGCCTGAGGCCTGGTCCCCGTTGTGCCCTTCTCTCTGGCAGCGTCCCCCTGCGTGCTCATCTTTAGGCCTCGTTACAGTCCGTGTCTGATTCACCCTCAAAGGCAACGCAGGGCACTTGACGCTCTACAGTTTGTAAAGCCCTTCCATGCCCAAGGCCTCCAGGCCAAGCAAGCCACAGACTCTTCCTCTTCCTGAGAGGGAGAAGCAGGCCTGGCAAGGAGGGACGAGGACGTCCCCGCACCGCCACCCCCGGCCCACTGACCAGCCAGTGGCCCCGCCCTCTGCGGGGAGGTGACCGTGTCCGAGGAGTTGAAACCTCCGAACAGCTTGGGCTCTGCGGCGGCGGAGGCGAAGGCTGCGCTGGGTCCGCGGTGGCCGTCGGCCGAAGCTGGCTTGCTGGGGGTCTGGGAGGTGGGGAAGGCGCCCCCTCCTACAGCATGGGCGTTCTCGGAGGGCTCCAGGCTGCGGCGCCGCTGGCTGGCATCCTTGGGCTTGCTCTTGTTGCTGCCCATGATCCTGGCTGGAGAGGAGAGAGGATCCTGGGTGGAGGAGAAACTCTGCGAGCAGGAAAGGCTACCTGGGAAAACTGAGGCCCAGTGAGGGCTCAGTTAGCCTCCCAGAGCCTCAGTGTCTTCATCTGTAAAACAGGCATAATGATGGCATCCATAAAACCGGCTTCCTTGGCATAGGGCCAGGCAAGAAGCTTCATGATCAGAAGCCCTGACCTCCCTCACCTCTCCTTTAAGTCGCTGTTTCTCTCCTTCTTGGGCAGGGACAGTTATCTGAGTCATGCCTATGTACTTAAAGGAGGGGATTCACTGAGGGTTTGTTGAATGAATATATGATTGACTGGAATTGTCTAACACTGGGAGACAACTGGCAACCAAGGCAACCATACAAAGTGGGAGGTTAAAAGGAGAGATTGCTGTGAGCTCACTCTAGCCACAGGGCCTTTGCACATGTTGTTCCCAGTGTCCTAACTACTTTACCAGGGTAACCTGGGCCTCCTTCCATTCTCTGTTCAAAAGTCACTGCCTCAGCAAGTGTTTCCCAAATTCTTTCACTGGATTAAGTTCTGGTGATTTTTGTGCTTCTCCTTGATATTGATAATCAGTGGCCCTGTTTTTAATTATTTTTAAATTCAAGTGATTATATAATTATTGTCATGGCCTTTGGTCTGTCTTAGTCACTGCTGGGCTGCTGGTGCCTAGTACAGGGGTGGTATACAGTAGGTGCTCAATAAGGAGTTGAGTTGAATGAATGTCTATTCAAGAATTAAGAGATTTCTGAGCCAGGAAGCTAGGAGGTCGAGAGCTTAGGAAACACGGAACCAAAGTGAAAATTCCCAGTGCCCACAGCCTTGCCACCACCACCCTGCCTCTCACTTCCCCATTCACAGGCTCTCGGTGGTCAGAGATCCCATCAAGCCTGACTGGGGTTTCCCACGCATCTTAGCCCTGACATGGCCATTGTTTTACCTGGTGGAAAGCAGGGGCTGTCCCAGAGGATCTGGGAAGCAGCCTGGGGTCTTGGCACCAACACCAGGTGTGGAGTCAGGATTTTCAAACTAGAGGCCCAGCTCCACCTCTCCTTGCTGTGTGTCCCTGTCCAAGTCACTTCTTCTCTCTGGGCCTCAGCATCCTCGTCTGTAAAACAGGAATAAAGCAGACCTCTCAGGGCTGCTGTGAAGATATGATTAGAAAGAGAAATTGTAATGGTGCTCATTCTTGGCTCACTGTTCATCAGGGTCTGACTCTTGTAGATCCAATGCTAAGAACCTCCCAGACCTGAAACATCCTTCAACCCTCCCAAAGCATTTTAACAGCAAGAGTGAGGCAGGGTATGGTGGTGAAGGTGGGCTCTGGAGCGAGGCTCTCCAGACCCAGATCCTGGCTTTGGCCCTAATCAGCTATGTGACCTCATGACTTAACTTCTCCCCATGCCTCATTTCTTCATCTGTAAAGGATAGGGTCATTGTGATACAGAGTGCAATACAGAGTGCCAGGAACACCTCAGGTCTCCCTGCCATACCAGCTGTTATTGATATTGTGTGATTCTGGACACACCAGCAATGCAGGTTCCAATTATTCTCCAGGGGATGCTGAAGACCCCAGAATCAATCCTCTGAGAACCCAGTGACAAAAAGTCCCCTTGACTAGTTGGGGCCTTTGGCAAGGCTGTTTGTCCTGAATGCCAAGCCCATCTCTGCCACCCTCCTCCCCATGTGAACTTTAGGCACCCTGCACTCTCTAGGTGTTAGGCTGTCAGGCTACACAATGGGGAAGTGGCCTGCATGCTCCCCAGGGACCATCTAGCTCAGACACTGTGGGGCTGGGAAGGCCCTGGGGAGACCTGCTCAATAGCCCAAGGGATCACCAGGGCCTCTTGGTCAGTGGGTTGAGGACAAGGAAGGCCAGTCTCTATAGCAATCCATTCCACTGTGGTCACACAGCCCATCAGCACTCATACAGTTGGTGTCCCATAGGACCTGCTGAGCTGGCTACCTGCAGCCCCAAACCTGATGGAGGCTGAGGCCTGGACAGCCACCCCACACTTGCTCCCTGGTGCATCATTCATAGCACCTACTAACAGGCCCTCTGCTAGTCACTACAGGAGGATACAGAGATGAGGGGAACACAGGTCCTACCTCAGAAGATGCCGTAGTTGGGGACTTGATTGTGGGCTTTGAGAGGAAATAAAAATTATAAAAATATATTTTAAACTAAAAACAAAATTTAATACATGCATATATAAAGAACTATCCAAGAGCCCTCACTTTCTTTAGAACAAACTAAATGATAAGAGTGAGCTTCCTGGGTGGCACCTGTGGCTCAAAGGAGTAGGGCACTGGCCCCGTTTTGGCCTGGCCAAAAATTGCAAAAAAAGAGTGAGCTTCCTGTCACTAGAGGTAATCAAAGACAGGAAAATGGATTCTTGGCTCATGTGTCATGGAGGGATAGGGCAAGTCAGGGCTGGACGTTGAAGGCCCTTCCTACATCAAAGAATGTATGTGCCTTCTTGAGAAGGAGCAAGAGAAAAAGACACAGCCCCTGGCCTCTAAACTCTTAAACTAATCAAGAAGACTGCTCCCCCCTGGGGCATTCAAAAGAAGCATAACAGGACCTTTAAGGCCAAGATAAGGGGACCTAAGCCTTGGTTTGTGTGGTGGTTGGTTCTGACTGTACAAATGACGTGTGTGCGTGTGTGTGTGTGTGTGTGTGTGTGTGTGTGTAGAGGTGGGCAGGTTGCAACTAAAAGCTAGCATGCTGGAACACACTCCTGTGACTGAATCCCAGTCTTGCCACCCCCGTGGGGAACCCTGTGCCTCAGCTGCTTCTCTGTTAATCAGGGATAACAATCCCCATGTCACAGGGCCTTGGGACCATCCATGAGAAAAGTACACAGAACGTGCTTAGGAATGTGGCTAGTCCTCAACAAAATGGCAATGTTTTATCATTCAGCATGTATTCTTTGGGAACTCCAGGAACTAAAAAAAAGAAAAGAAATGCCTCATAATCCTGCCCCTACAAGAGAACCGCCTGGGCATGACAGCGTGTCTCCTTCCAGTATCACAGGAACACACAACTGTAAACAAAACTGGGATCAGTCTAGCGCCCTTGACTGTGAGTTCCCTGTGGGCAAGTCCTGTCTGGATCCATGTCTACATCCCCAGAGACCAGGATAGGCCTGGCACCTGCCAGATGCTCTGGAAATAGTTACAGACAAAAGACCAAGTGAGCACTGATGTGTCATTTGCACCTTGTTTGGTTCCTGGAATGCCACATTGTAGAGACCAAATATCATTCCTTGACACTCCAATACTCTTAGAGATCTGACCTTGGACTAGGCCCTGCTCTAAGCACTTTGCAAACAGTGACTCATCACATCCTCATGATAATCTAGGAGGTAGACACTAATGATTTCTTTATTTTACAAATGAGGCAACTGAGGCACAGAGAGGTTGAGGAACTTGCCTGAGGTGGCACAGCATGGGTGAGAGTGTAAAAGAAAGGGGAACAGGAAACCACACTGGATGTGTGAATCAGGAATTAGGGCCTGCTCCTGGGGTCCAGTGGGGGAACTCTTGGCCCCATCTCCTACCCTTGGGACCTCCCTCTCCTGTGGAGCAGCCAGACGCCCTTGGTAGAGGGAGTGAGCAGAGAAGGCAGCCGAGCTCTGCTCCTGCAGAAAGCACTAGATTTCAGGCTGTGCTTGGGGAAGGATGATCCACTTAGGACGGGGGCAAGTCTCAGCAGGCTGCTGCCCTGTGCTGTGTGACCTTGGCAGAGAGGGCCCTCCTCACAGGGGCAGATCCCCTGTCTGCAGGCTTCCTGATTTGGGGCCCAAATGCCCAGTCACCATGAGTCTCCCACTGAAGAAGGCCCAAACTCCCCACATCTCTTCCTCCACTGCAGCTTCCAAAGTAGAGATAGATCTTTGCGGGGGGTCCAAGGGAAGCAGTGGGGACCCTGCACTGGGGGTGCCTGAGGTTTCCCAGGGAAGATGGCCCCTTCCTCTGAGGAGTCACCCCAGGCAGCCAGCCTGCACTATCACTCCCTAGGAGAGGTGCCAGGATGCAGCTTCCCACATGCCCCCGCGATGTCCTGAGTACTACATGCTCCCCAGGGCCCAGCTGACCAAGCATCTCCCCAGGCCTGCATCCCACCCCCACCTCTGCACACACACTCCTCCCAGTCATTCACCAGATATTTGCAGAGCACCTCCTATGTGCCAAGCCCTGTGCTAGGCCCTAACCAGGTGGAGCCCTGGGTATGGTATCTCCTACCCGCACATATCTCCATTCTCTCTGGCCAAGGCCTTGGACACAGCAGTGGTGGCCCACTCCAGCCCATCCTCCTCTTACTGCCAGAGGCATCTCTGTAAACCACACAGACAACTGGGGGCCTCCCCTACTTAAAATTCTCCACAGAAAACCTGTAACAGTCTATGTGTTCATCAGAGGGGACTGTTAAATAAATGATGCTGCGGTCACAGAGTGGAAAGCTGAGCAGCTATTAAAAAGGCCAGGAAGGCTAGGCTTGGTGGCACATGCCTCATCCCAACACTTTGGGAGGCTAAGGCAGGAGAATCTGGTTTTGTGGCCAGATCCTGGCCTGAGGCCAGGAATTCAAAACCAGCCTGGGCAACACAGCAAGACCTTGTCTCTACCAAAAAAAAAAAAAAAAAAAAGTTTTAATTGGTTAGGTGTGGTTATATGCTGCTATAGTCCTAGCTACTCAGGAGGCTGGGGCAGGAGGATCGCTTGAGCCCAGGAGTTTGAGATTTACAGTGAACTATGCACCACTGCACTCCAGCTTGAGCAACAGAGCAAGACTTGAGAACCTGTCTTTACAAAAAAATGTGAAAAAAAAAAAAAAGAACAAGAGCTCAGTGTGACCTGAGAAGATGCTCACCATACACTGTTAAGTGAAAAGAGAAAGAGGGCAGATAAGAATCTTCACTGGACAGCCTGCGGCCTCAGTTTCCTCATCTGAAAAATGGAAACAATGATGCTACCTACGTCACAGGGTTGGTGGGGGAATAAATGACGAGCATGGAATGGACTTAGTGCGGTACCTGGCCTGTAGCAAATATGAACCAGTATATTTCTGTAACAAAAATGGGTTTCCACATGCATGTGTACATTAACACATGCACACATACTCTGGATGCTTCCAGAAAGTTCTGGAAGGATTCTAAATTCTTCACAATGTTTTATCCAAAAGGTATGGGATAAGGAGAGGAAAATCCCTTTTTTACTTTATATCCTGTGTCAACTGACATTTAGAAATCACTTTGTCTGGCTTGGCGCCTATTGCTCAGCAGCTAGGCCCCAGCCACATACACAGGAGCCGGCGGGTTCAAATCCAGCCTGGGCCCGCCAAGCAACAATGACAACTACAACCAAAAAATAGCCAGGTGTTGTGGCGGGTGCCTATAGTCCCAGCTACTTGAGAGGCTGAGGCAAGAGAATCACTTAAGCCTAAGAGTTTGCAGTTGTTGTGAGCTGTGACGCCACAGCACTCTACCAAGGGCGACAGCTTGAGACTCTGTCTCAAAAAAAAAAGAAACTACTTTGTCATGATTTTTTTTTAAATGGAGATTTTTTTTAAATATTCAAGAGCTTCCTCTCGCTCCCCTGTAGATCAGGCCTAAACCCCACCCCTGAGTCCACCCGGTCCTGCAGTTGCTGCTGCCACCCTCTCCCATGGCCTCTCCCAGCTCCCCCATGACCTGACTGACCAAAAGCACTACACTCACTCTCACCTCCTGGTCACAGATGCCCACAACAAGCTGTTGTTCAGACACAATACAACAGCCCCTTCCTTCCCAACCCTAAGGAACATCACCTTCACTTCTAAGGGTCAAGGGGAGGCCAAGGTGCTCAGGTGGCGAGAGAGAGGACACCAGGCGAGCCTGAGTTCAAGTCCTGCTTCTACTTTACTAGGTGAATCTTCTTGAGCAAGTCATTTGGCCCCTCTTTCCTCCCTTTGAAAATGGAAATAAGAATGTGCCTAATATCTGGAAAATTCAAGAGCAAGTCCATGTGCCAGGAAAAGAATAAATGCTCACTCAACAGCACTGTGTTATTTACTGTTGTGACCATCACTGTGGAGAGTAAGAGGAGGCAGTAGTGGGTGGCAGG